GTGCTTTAACCCGCTGCGCCACCAGGGAGGGCCTCTATGCCATTTTTAATTAATTACTATGGCTCACTCATGATATACTCCAAGATTACTAAATGTATTACCAACAACACTCATTTCCACTCTCTCAATGGCTCTGCTGCACACTCCTGCTTGTGTTGATCACTCTGTGCTTTACTGTCACTTGGGCTCTGTAAAAAGTGCCACTAAATTGACTTTGATGACAAATACAAAATACTGTCCCTAAAATATTCCTTAGTATAAAACATTGCCTTCCTCTATCATACAATGGAAATGGTATTCAAAAAAAACCTTTAACATCTGCAGTTTGACTTTCAACTTTGATTTCGACTGCATGACAAATTATATAAACCATTATAAGTAAACATCACACCACAAGATTAAAGCTGCTAGTGCAAAAGTTTCATTAGTCATACCAAACACGTATTTGCTTTTCTGTTGGCATCAAAATGTAATTGTTTCTCTGTAAGTTAAACATACCTCCTGGTGCAATGCTGATCCAAATCTGTGCACTTGGCAACATAAAAGGGAAACTTATCATATTTCACCCATTGTATGGATTGTTTTTCTCCAACTAAATTGGTGAACTTGAATTAAAGTTTATTCTGTTCTCCTCTGTAAATATTACTAAACCCAGCATTTCAGGTTTGAGTATGTAAAACGAATTATCTGTTTGTGCATTAGGTTGATTAAAGCTTAAGACTTTAGGGAAAGAGAAATTATGTCACAAACACATTTGTGAATCTGGTAAAAACTCTGATCTCCACCCAAAAATAATACAATTGCATTCACCAAATTGTGAAATTACTTCTCAAAGGGTTTTTGGTCATCCCAAGGTAATTCATGTTCCTCAGGTTAAGCACTTAGATATTCAAATAAAAACTTCACATAATAGAGAACTTAAATCACTTACATTTCTTGATGACAATAGTATAAATAAGCAAAATGGCCACTTAACTCTCATTATTAATGAAATAATTTAACTTCTTTTTTAAATTAGCATTACACTAGCTAAGATTTAAAATAATAGCATTTTTGAAGGCGTTAGTAATAAACCAGGAAAGAGCTTCGTAGGTCCTTCTCCAACTACCCTTCACAAAGAACTTACCCTTACATATTTGCAAGCTGTATTTCTTATTAGCAGTTAATATCTAAATTATATAAGGAACTCCTACCCTTCAGGAGCAAAGAAACAAATTATCCAATTTTAAAATGGGCAAAGGACCTTAGTAGTCCTATTTCCAAAAACAACACACGTGTTACTAACAATTACATAAAAAGATTTGGGACACCACTTAACACCATGGAAATGCAAATAAAACCACAATGAGCTGTCAACTGCCTGCCTGCCTGCATGCCTGCCTGCCTGGATGACTTTTATCAAAAAGAAAAGTAATAATAAGTATTGACAGGGATGTGGGAAAAAGGAAACTCATATACTGTGGAAGGGAGAGAGGGGTAAAAATGGCCAAGTCATTATGGAAAATTGGCAGTTCCTCAAAAATTATAACTAGAGTTATATATGATTCCGCAATCCTACATCTGAAGAAAGAAAATCAGTATCTTGGAAAAGCATCTGCCCTCCATGCTCATTATTCAGAAAAGATAAGGAACAACTTCAGTGTCTGCCAATGAATAAATGGCTGAAGAAAATTTCAGGTGCACATGCATACATATGTGTATGTGTGGTGTTACACATTGCTTAACAGCAAGGATACATTCTGAGGATTAACTGAATCCTTACGTGACATTATTGTACAAATAATGTTACAGGGTGAAATTACACAAACTTGGATGATGCAGCCTACCACACTTAGTCTGTATGGTAGAGCCTTTGGGACCATTGCCATATATGCTATCCATCATTGACTAACACACACATATATACACATATGTAATAGAATAGTATTCAGTCATAAAAAAGGAAATGACATTTATGACAGTGTGGGTGAAACCAGAGGGCAGTATGCTAAATGAATAAGCTAGAGGAAAACAAATAGTGCATGGTGTCATGAATATGTGAAATATAAAAAAAAAGAAAAAATGAACTCATAGAAGTAGAAAGTAGCATGTGAAATACCACAATCAACTTAATTAACACTTCCATACCTCATATAGGTACTTTTTTGGGATAACACTCCTATAGTTAGTTTTTAAAAGACTGCTTAATAGCTACTCAGGAAATTGCAGCTATATAATATTATAAATTAATGTGATTTTGCCCTATATTAGATTCTCAGGACTTGTAATTCAAAGTTTGTACCCTTCGCCAACATTTCTCAAATTTTTATTCTCATCATGATTATGTACATTAACATTAGCAGAAGTTGGGGGAAGTGGCACTATTCTTGGAAGTTTTCTGTAAGTCTAAACTGATTTCTAAATAAATAAAATAAAGCACTAGGGTTTTAAAGTCTGTGTCCTCAAAGATTCCATTTCTGTGTAGCTCTTAAAAGACCAAGGACTCACTACCCAACATGGCAGCCCTGCTCGCCAACATCTCATCTGACATTTGCCTCTCCAGAATTCAGATTTTAAGCAACAAACATTTATTTACCCCCTCTTGTGTGCAGGCCCCACTTAAGGTATTCATGGTTCCTATAGTCACTGCACACTTCTCTTTCATACTGTGAAGAAAGAAATACAGAGATAAAATAATGCATGTTGCTGTTTGTGGACTATTGCTATTACAGCTTATTATTAGTGTTCTCTGACTTTCAAATGAATTCGATGTCCTGGTTTCTAAGAAAATTTATAATTGATCGCATGACCTGCTTATCGTAATAAGAGAAACAATGTTTTGTTTACAAGGACAACCAGTTATCTAGGGTTTTCTGCAAATTAAGTAATTAAAACCACTAAGCTATGTTGACATTTATGGGTACTGATTTTATGATAGAAAAAAAAAATGACAATAAACTCAGTAATCTCTTAGAAAATCGTATTTGATGCTGTTAGTAAATTTCAATATAAAATACAAAAATATTTCAATTTTCAAAATGTCAATACAAAAACAGGAAATTGCTTTTGACTGGGGTGTTAAAAGAAAAAAAATTGGGAGCACTTTGTCAAGAATCTCTCTTTTACAAATCCTATGTTTTATAGTAATGTTTACAGAAAATTGCCAAACTTCATTAAATTAATCCAGTTTATAAACTTTTGTAAATAAAGTCATCACAGAGTCCCAACAATAGTTAATTTGAAGTGTGCATTAATAAATGTCTAAAGGCATTTACCACTTAAATCTTCCATTGTAACACTAAGGCTCCAACACCAACTAACATTAGTTTCAACTAACAGTTTATGAACAAGTGGTTAATGTCTTATTTGCAGCATCAAATCCTATCACCTGCTTTCAAATTGCTTTTAAACCTAACCATCATTAGTTTATGGAATTTGTAAAGTTCCATAAATTTTGTAAATTTATGCAACTCAGCCCTTACCTAATGATTCGAACGGCAGTAATCAAGAAGCTAGGACAAAGGGCCACCAATAGAGGCAAGTGGACTTGCAGTAATCAAACTTGAAAAACACTTTCATGCTTCACCTAATTATTCTTCTAAAGCTAAGCAAGGGACGTAATAGTAACCCCATTTATGACAAATATGGAAACCTCAGCGCAAGGTATCAGGGATCTACCAAAGATCATTCCAGTTCATGTTCTTTTATTCTACATTGCTGGAAAGTTCAGTCTTTAATTCGAGGACTTTTGAGTAATTTTCACATTTCTAGTTTACACTTAATAATTATAAATGGCTTGTGAACCCACCTTGTTAACATAGCAATAACCGAGCATCTTGGTTATTTTCTAAAAGAACTCACAATACTCAGAGTAACAGCAGTCTGATTCAGATAAAAGGCTACATAGAAAGGCTATACAAAAGCACATTTCCGTTTCCAGAATAACACTGCCACCTGGTGGACTATCGGTGAGCTAAGGTAAGTGTACCCACTACATGGCTCAATTAAAATTCTCAATGGGCAAGGAGTTTCCACAAACACTTTGATTTGTAGCTCTCAGAAAAAAACGATTATATAGTCATTTCATCTTATAGACAGTAACCAAGTTGGTGTTTTTATGGCAGTTTCCAAGCTGGAATCAATAAACATTCATTCTAATCATTCTGTATACATTTATTATATACCAAGTATGTAATAATACAGAATGTAATTCCTGTAGTAATTGGGAGTACACTCTTAAACCAGACTACTTCTGTTCAAATCCAAATCTGCCACTAACCAACATGATGAATTTGGACCAGCCACTTCAACTTTGTATCATCTCAGTGCTGCCATGCTAAGTGAGATAACAGTAGCCCCTCTCTACACAGTAACTAAAAACCCTGTGGAATAAGAAGTGCCCTATCTAGTCTTCAGGGACTACATCTTAGCAGCAATAAGGGTGGTATTGCAGAGATGGAGAGAATTCCCCTAGATGAAGATAAGCAGCTGGAACAAGGACAGCATTTGTAGCCTCCCACATTTTCCCAGATAAAGAATTTTATTACAGATATCAGATACAACTCCCTGCTTATGCCAGGTGTGCCACTCGTGGTCCAGTGAACTATGGTCCAGAACAGGCATGTAACCTACTTACAAATGAGGGTATTTTTCAGTGTCTGAAAGGGTATTTTGTACTTGTCACAGCATTTTAAAGCTTTCCTTTAGGCTTCTATGTCTAACTTACAAACATACCATTTGGAAATCTGTACAATTTAATAATCACTTTTAAAGGACACCTTTAAGTGATGTTTGATAAAGTTCACTTAAATTGAACAAACTAAATTTCTTTACAGTCTCATTTACAATCCAAATTCCTTTACACAACTTAACAGAATTTATACATTTAAACATTTGATCTTCTTTTACACAGTACTTCAAATGCTTGCCCCAACAAGCAAAATCTTCCCAAGTACTTAAACCCTATAAATATAATAAATTAAACACTTTTCAAATTCTTTGAAACATTTCATTTTTGCATGCTTGGTAACATTTTAAAATATCTTTTAACTAACAATCATTAGTCTAAAAGTATTAGTTAGATCCTAATGGCCAAGGTCATATTCTGCAATATACTGACTTTATTCAAAAATTCAAAATTCAAAATATTACTTTGCACTAATGAATATAAAAACTATTCCTAAACCTAACACAAAAGTATTAATGGCTATGGGAGTTATTTCTTAACCTTTTTGGGAATTTGTAACCATTACAAAATTCATGTGAGAACTGCAGCACTAGGAAAAATTCTGTTCAAGGGAATGGGGAGTTTGGTCCCAGCAGGCAAAGTCAGAGTGCTGGCATGGTAAGGAACTCCAGCTTGGGGACTTCAAGAGTGAGTTCACTAAGTTAATATCAAATGAAAATAAAACAAACTTTGGATGGCTGTGGAGAGAAACAAATGTATGGAGAAACTCCATCACACCTCAGTCTTGGTAACAGCTTGAGTTTTAGATTTCAACTTAAAATTCACTAGTATGCAAGTTACCAATTTACCAGGAAGTTAAATTTTAAAAGCTTTTTTAAAAACCTTTTTTTAAGTTATTTAAATAATAAATTAACCCTTCTCAAGATGACCCTGATCACCTAATTCTTGAAGGAAGCAAGCTCTTGGTTTCTTACTAGTTACCATACTATGACTATGTAAGTTAGGTCATGTGTTTTGAGCACATGCCTGCACCAGAATATGTATCATTTTTCTGCATTAAAAAATATCTAAATTCATAAAACTGAAGTTTTAAGAGAGCCCCACTACAAAATCTTCCTTTAGCTAAAGACACAGTCCCCTACATTATACTACATGGGACAAAACAGGATTTAGGGAAAGGTAGAAGAGGTAGCAAGTGTGAAAGAGAGTGGAAGCTGTCATAATCAGTGACTATCCAGCAGGAATTGATACATTTCAGAAAGTCAAAAAGAAAACAGTAATTTCTTTATAAAAAATTATTTACATTGAACACATAAAAAAAAAAACCTGTTTTTCAAGAAGAGCTACTCTGGGATTTGAGATTCATCACACGATGATTGTGAGTAGGGAAAACTTTAAATACAGATCAGAGAAAATGGTTTTCAGGGGGGTAGGTAGCTAGAAGGTAATCTCCAAACATAGTATAAAAGGCTGAAAGGCTATTTATTGCAAGAGAAATGGCAAACTTTATCATTTCCCTAACCTGAATCAAGTTGAAAACCTGGTAGGAAGGCTATTTTGAGGGGGAAAAAAAAAGAAATGGTCCAATTAAAAGCCACATTCTGAGAATTAAGGTAAAAAAAAAATGAAAGAAACCTGTGATAGAAAGCACAATTCTGAGGTATCAAATTTGCCTCAACACATATTGATACATGTCCACCTAGTGTGAAATATTCAGAGTTAGTTGTTCACACTTGGAACAGATACAGTTCTATCACCAGCTGAATCATATGGCCTCAGACATATACAAATGTCAAAGAAAGAGGAGGCAAGTTTAGCTGAGCCTGAAAATCCCAATGGCACTGATCAAAATGAAGAGTTTATTTGCCATCAATTGATTTGTTGTTGTTGTTTTTGAGGAAAGAAGTAAAAAAGAAACCCATGTTTCTTTGGCAGAATTCCCAGTCGAGAAACCCTTTCCAGAGTTCTGAATGTCTACCCACAGGGTATTACAGAACTTTGTTGTTATCAAAATTATCATCAGCATGATCAAGGTAGACAGACACTATACCCAGGGCAAATGAGATCTTCCAGCTAAAGATGCCATAAAGTAATTCAAAATATTACATGGAAAATCATGTCTAATATAGGTACTTATTTTCCAATCATAATTATTCTGGTCTCTTCCATAAAATTGCTTCTGAAAAAGTTTTTACAATGTATCAAAAAATTTTCCTTCCAATAGTTAATAGAGTCAAATCTATTCCAACTTAGGAGTTTTTAGGTTTAGTTGTAGTAAACACTATGATTCTATCTTCTTATTTTCTAGAATTCCATCAGATGTATGCTGCAACACTGAAGTGCTTTCTTTCCTTGTCATAGTGGCAAAAAGCATATCCATCATCCCCAAGGTTTCTAGAAGCTCTCTTTGGTAATCTATCTCTTTTTCTACAAGTCCTTGAAGTAACAAAAACTTTTTATCAACTACAGGTGATTGACCAATCACAGGCAGATATATATCTAGAAAAAAGAGAAATAAACACATTAACTAGAAATATCTTTCTATACAACAAATGAACAGCAATATTAAGGAAAAATATAAAAATTAAAGACACTGAAATATCTGAACTTACATTACAGTTAATCTGTGACTTACAGAAAATAGATAATCCATTCAAATAGATTTTATTTTAAAAAAATACATGATGGAAGTTCTGATTTATTTTCATTTTTCCATTACAAGGTGTGACAGTCATTAGAGAAGTTTAGGGAAAAAAATTTTAGTCACCTACAGGCAACTCACACTTTACTACATTTTTTAAATGAAGAAGCTTTATTACTGTGTTCTTTTTCTCAATGAATATTCTTACTGGAGAGCTCTTACAAATAACGTATTTTCAATCTATTCAAATTTCAACTTTATGTCACTATTTGACATCTTTACTCTTGCAAACATGCTAGGATTTTTCACATTTCAACAACTACTTACCAATAATTATTTCAGCAGCATTGATCAAAACAGGGGCAAATCGTGGCTGAGACAGATTCCTATAAAGCAAAGATTTTCTTTACTGAAACTTAGAAACTTTTTTTATAAAGATCAAGCTAAAAGCCAACATCTCTCATTTGGAGATAAAGGATTTCAAATGCAAAATACAAGTGTTGCACAGACACAAAACATACCTTATTAAAAAATTAAGAACACGACTAATTTCCTTTTCATCCCGACCTGCGAGGGCATTTGCAAGGACCCCTCTTCGATTTAGCTCCTTTATAATGGAAACTGTAATCTCAGGTGTCTTTATAGTACAACTGGGCTGAAAAAATTTTCAGAGTCAATAAGCAGATAAGACAATATAAGAAAAAACCCTTACAGTTACCAATTTTAAATGGGTTTTTAGCACAGTTTTGAGTCATGGTAATAATACACAAGGGAAGAAATGTTTTTTTAAAAAACATATCCCCAGTAGGTTCATCCGTTGTAACAAATGTACCACTCTGGTGGCAGCTATTCACAGTAGGGGAAGAAACACAGGTGCAGAGATGGGGAATATGGAAAATCGCTGTACCTTTCATTCAATTTTGCTGTGAACCTTAAACTAATTTAAAAAAAGAAACTGCTTCTCACTCACCTCAAGGACTCTGTCAAGTGCCTTAGAGACCCGAAAATGTTTCAGATCCCTGTCATATAATTCTAGGTATTTCTTTGGTGGTCTGTTGATCAAAATGTCATCCTGTATTAAAAAGTAAATTTATAGAGAAAAATCAGTATGTGTATAAAGTTTCATTCAAAATAACTTTTTTCTATATCAGGGTATCTCTGAACTATAACATAATGTTAATATTCCTATTATGTAGATTAAATAAAATGGAATCATTTTCAACATCAATGTGCTGCCACTCTCCTATGATTTTAAGGTACAATAAAGGATTATCTCAGTTCTGAGCATAAATTACTTTTTTAAATTATCTTTCCATGACAGACAGTGTGATTTAGTAGAAATCACCCCCAACAACTCTAGTTATTGAATAATGAAATTCTGGCTTAACCAAAACTTTTATACCTCAATCTTCTCAGATGCTGAAACAGTAGACATTAGAGACTACTTTTTTTCAGGGTTGGTTAGAAAACCAAGTCAGAAACAGTGCAAAAGACAATGTTTTAAATATGGGAGAGTACGCTAAGGTTATGATTTAGGGTATTAAATAAAGTAGCCCTTATTCCCCATTACATAGTAATCATGCCCTCATCTAGCAATCTGGAGATAAAACTGATAGAGAAATGAGCAAAGTAAAGTTAACTTTCCAGTGCTGTCAAGGGGGTGGAGCTGTCTATTAAGTATCACTTTTTGGAAAAATATGAAAAGTACATAAATACCCGTTGCTTCATGTAATTTTTTCCTTTAATAAAGGTTCGATATGTAGGCCTTCTTCTCTTAGGAAGAGAATCCTTCTTTGGCTCAGATTTCCGATGTTTAACACTCAGTATTCCATTGGTCATTCCAACAACTATGGTCTCATCTTCATGCTAACAGCAATTAGAAAAATAAGTTAGTCTATTCCTAACTCATAATGTATAGTACTTTTTCTTCAAAATAACATTTATAGTATCTATGTTGTTTATCCATACTTTCATGAAGACTCCCATGAAGATAAAGAAACTGTCTAGCAGTGAGCTTCACAAAAAGAGCAGTCATTTTTCCTTTAGGATATGATCATGTTTATAGAATTTAGTATATGTGTTGTAAAATATTACTGGAAAAGTTTGCCTAAAAATAAAGAGCTAATGACATGTTGGGCAACTCAAAATTTTTTTTCCTGTATCTTCTCGTAAGATGAGTTACATGGTTGTATGACCTTCTACAACCTTACCAAGAAAATACTTCACAATTAAGTATTTCCTCTCCCAAATCCAGTTTCTACATAATCTACTCAAATGGCCTTTTCCTCAATGGTTCATGTAGCAATGGATATTCCAGAAAGAGCAGTCAATGAAGCTATATCATCTTATTTTGTTGTCCCCTTCACTCCCCCCCTTTTTTTTTTGGAAAGCCCACTTGCCTTTCCAAAGAATTTAATTCTAGAGATAAAAGTGCTGAAGATTTATGAACTTCCCGACCTGCTGCCAGTGTTAACAATACCTACAGCACTTATTTAGCTTGAAGTTATGCAGTGAGTAAAACTGGAATCTGAATTCAAGCTGTTACTGGGACAAGTCAGATTCTAGCATTCTTCTTAACTCTATTATCTAATGTGATAAGAAGAAAACAAGATTTATTCAAACATGAGATTAACCTTAAAACACCATTTTACTTTCTATGTAATATGCAAGATTATAAGGCTTTAAAAAGAAATAAAAAATACTTACTGCAAGTGCAAGACTTAAAATTGAAGCTGCATAGTCAAAACTGTGAACTACTTTGTAGGAAGTTGTGCTATAGACCTTCACCTTCCTAGTAAAAATAGAAAGCTTTTGTCACAAACCATGTATATAAAATGCAAACTTTCTTTTTATTATTTGAACATCTTAAATATGAATGTTAAAATTTACACAACTGTGAAGAAAAACAACGGTTAGAAATGTTAATTACAAATTCATTCATCACTGAATCTCTTTAAAAAGTGAACTGCTTGTAAGTACTAGTCATGATGTTTGTATAAAGACTTACACTAGACACTTTTAAAAGAAATAGAATAGACTATGAACCACTATCATTTAAAAATAAAATCTGAAAGTAAAGCAAAAGTATCAATGCAAGTACACTGTATGTCAAAAGAGCAAGGTTTCTTAACTTCAGCATTATTCACATTTTGAGTGAGGTAATTCTTTGTGGTAAGTTCTGTACAATGTAGGATGTTTAACTGTAACCTTACATTCGCTACTAGATGCCAGTAACATTCTACCCACTACCTGGGAAAGTCACTCCCAGTTGAAATCTAATCTGAACAGGGCTACTTAGCAATTAGCATTTGAGGGACACATCTAAAAATCAAGTCCCAAACTGCTTAGTAACACCATTCCAAATAATCAGCTATATTACAAAATTCCTTAATCTTGAAAGCATCTTTTAAAGTTTTTTAAACACTGAATTTCTTAATATAACACTGAAAAACAAAGGCTTTTCATAGCAAGGGAGAGGGAAGGAAATATGAAAATATTGGATTGTCAGAAAAGTCATGACTTTTTTTGCTTAAAAAATAGCTGACTCTAATTTTTTTTTTTTTAAAGATTTATTTATTTGTGCATACAGAACTGGGGTACAGACCAGAGGCTCAGGGGCGGTTAGAGGCTTCACCAGAGACAGAATGGGGAGCAGAACAGGCAGATCTATGAAATACACTGCTGAGAGGAGCAGCGGGAGGGCCAGGAGAGGTCTGCCTCGCCATGTGGACTCCTCCGGGGCAAGCGGAAATCGAACTCATGCGGAAGTGGCTTTAGATTCTCAGTGCAGTGCTTTAACCCGCTGCGCCAACAGGGAGGGCCCTAAGTAAATTTTATAACTGTGACATGTTCTAGAAACATGGCAATTCAGTTTTAATGAGGCTAGTGAAAATGAAGAACTGAATATTTTTATTTAATTTTAATTTGTTTAACAGAGGTAGTGTAAAAATAGCTTTCCGTTAATTTCAACTTCTTCAACTGTATTTAAATTTAATCATTGTATAATATTGTATCACAGGCATGAATTAGATACTTAATGTTTACCTTGTTTCTAGTTCCTCAGTAAAATTTTTACACAGGGGTAGGGAAAAGGAAAAAGTTCTTTACATTGTTTATATACTGAACTAATAATTTAGATATGTTGAACTAAATAACTATGTATTATTAATTTTACCCTGCTCTTTTTACCTTTTTAATATGGCACTAAAACATTTAAATTATATATAGCTTGCATTCAATTTCTATCATACAAGCTATTCTAAAACATTAACTAATGAAATATACCTACTTTAAGTATCTAAACACACCAATATTTAGAACACATAACATAGAAATTTTCATGTGAAGCTTTAATTTTGAAGGACATAATCAAGAATACACACATATACTTGAGTATTTCAAAATATACAATTATTTTAAAAGATTAATGCTCTAGTAAAAATAAAAAACAAAAAGTATATTTTGTATACTTATATTTAAGTCAAAGCAATTCTGTCAATGGAGAAAATATGCACTATATGTAAACAAAAGCTCAAAACTAATTTCAAATCAACAAATTTTCTTTTCATAGCAACCAGATGTAAGAATATTCTGTCACAAAAACTATTGAAAATAACCCATTTCCTCAAGCACTGAACACTTGTGAACACTTGTACACACTTATATACTAAGTCCTCACTTAACATTGCAGATAGATTCTTGGAAATCGACTAGGAAAAATGAATGTGTAAAGAAACCAATGTTGCTATATGCTAGTTAATATAAACAAGAGTTAAGTTCCTACAGTAAATTTCTGGTACAAAAAAAACATCACTACACTTCTCAATAAAAACCAAAATCGCGTCTAATACTCAACAATATTCATACATTTTCCACTTATTCCAGTTCAGGGCCCGGAGTGGATGGAGACACAACAGGGACCAATCCTTGACAGAATGCCCTCCCAGCTAGCCCGGACTCACACACATACATGCACACCCCCTCAGACTGTGGCAGTTTAGACACACCAATGATCCTAAATGCACAACTCTGAGGCACTCAGAGAAGCTGGAGAAAACCCACACAAATAAGGGAAGAACTACAAACTCCAGACAATCAATCCAGCCAGGTATCGATTTTTGACATTATAAAGAAATATTACTCAAGATACTAATGATTAAGAGATTATATGAAAATACTAACCTATCCAGTGAGCCAGAAAGTAGTCTCTGTCCAGAGCTGCTCAGACATAGACACGTCACAGTTTTGTGGTGATTTTTCAAAGACACTAGCAACTGTCCTCCTTTCAGCATGTCCCAGACTTTAACATAACGACCACCTATGAAAAGAAATAATCATTATTTGATTTTTGCTTGCAGGTTCAAAATTCTAAAGATCTCAAAGCATTCTTCAGTGGACTCTCCATACAAGGAAGTGAAAGGTTCCAGAGCCAGAATGCTGGTTTCAACTCAAGCTGTACTCTTTAATGTGTATAAAGTAAAATAAAAAGTTCCTTCCCCAGAACTGTTACAATGGTTAAGTAATTTCAAATTTGGAAAGTACACAGAAATGCCTTGCAAGGTAAAAGTATAGCTGAAAAAGATTTTTTTAAGAAATATAGTAAAATCATTTCCTAAAAATTCTATGAATCCCAAAAAAAGTGAAAAACTTCCCTAAAAATTTTACCCTGAAAGTTAGAAGTAGCCTTAAAAGTAATTCGATCTGGGCCCTCCCTGGTGGCGCAGCGGGTTAAAGCACAGCACTGAGAATCTAAAGCCGCTTCAGCATGAGTTCAATTCCCGCCTGCCCCGGAGGTGACCACATGGCGAGGCAGACCTCTCCTGACCGCCCGCTGCTCCCCTCAGCAGTGTACTTCGTCGATCTGCCTGTTCTGCTCCCCACTCTGTCTCTGGTGAACCTCTCGCCACCCCTGTGCCTCTGACCTGTACCCCAGTCCTATATGCACAAATAATAAATCTTTAAAAAAAAAAAAAAGTAATTCGATCTGGACCTTCCTAGTGGCACAGCAGGTTAAAGCACAGCACTAAAAAGCTAACGCCACTTCAGTATGAGTTCGATCCCGAACCCAGAGGAGATCCACATGGCGCGGCAGACCTCTCCTGGCCCGCCCGCTGCTCCCCTCAGCAGTGTACTTGGTCAATCGGCCTGTTCTGCTCCCCACTCTGTCTCTGGTGAAGCCTCTCACATTCCCTGCACCTCTGGCCTGTACCTCAGTTCTGTGTGCATAAACAAATCTTAAAAAAGTAATTCAATCTGATGTTTAAAGTATTTCTTTAATGCACATACTTATTTGCAAAAAAAAAAGGGGGGGGGGGCTTGTAGGTAAAACAGGACAGTAGGACAAGGGGGCAGCAGTGGAGGGACGTTTTTATCTCTCATGACTGCCCACATATGGTTGCTCCTAATACACAAATTGAAACCACTGATCTAAACCAACCGTGCACTTGCAAAGTCTTTAGAAATTAAGGGTGGCCTAAGGTCACAGGATTAACTAGTAGGATACTACAGATTAGCAAATACGTTTCCAGTCAGTGTGCTCAACTTGACTTATTTCTGCTTCTCAAAATAACAGCAAGAAAAATGAATATATGTGACAATTTTATCAACATATTTTTAAAGCAAATAGAACAGAAATACTAGGGAAGAGAAAATAAAACAGGGTAATTCTATTTGAATTTTAGAATCAAAAAGAGGCTACACCCCCCAGCCACATATACGCTATCAAGTATACACATGACCTACCTGTACATTCCTCTAAGGTCAACACATTAATTCTGACTATTTCAACAAACTTATTTCTTCCATTATAATTCTGAAAATACACTGTGATCAACACAACAAAACACCACAGTTTCAACTTGATGAGAAATATATCAAGGTCCTATTTGACTCCATATTATCCCCTCCAGCACTATTAGTAACTTGCCGGGAAAGGCCATTTCAATCAATGTAAAAAAGCTACTTTACAAAAGCTATTGCAGATCTCTTAGGCAGGAATTATACCAGGAGTGTAGCCTGGACTTGGGGATCAAAGAAGATGGAAGAGGGTTTAGGATATAATGTAGGCCCTCAGGTTGAGGATTTTTCTCTTGAAGGAAAAAGCAAGACACTCTCCACCTACTGTCCATGCTCTACAGAAATAACACTCTCATTTGCTTGTGCATCAACCATCTCACCACTGTGCCTTGGAAAAATTGGTGAAAATTTATTTTCTTAGTTGTAACAGTTAGTTGTAACCTAGGGAGAAAACTACCTTGTAGCTATTCCTAGAGCATTAGAGATAATATGTGTATAACAGCCCAATATCTGATTGACATATCACTTACACAATAAGTGATAACTGTTTGCCTGTCCCAATTATCAATTATTTGAGCAAAAACTCACATATGCAATTCAAGTGTACACAGTATATTATAGCAAGTAACTAATAATTAAATAACTCAAGATCGACATCACTGGTGAAAGCAATTTAAAAAGAAATACCTGCTGATACCAGAAGACCTCCAGAAGGAAAAAGTAAGACACTCTCGACTGGCTGTCCATGCTCTACAGAAATAACACTCTCATTTGCTCGTGCATCAAACATCTTCACAGTGTGATCATATGAACCTAAAATGTCAAATTGGGCATTATGTAAATTTTGCTGTTCAAAACCACAAAAAATGTGTAGTGTATTCAGATAAATATGAAAAGATTTAGATAAAATGTTTAATTTGTGTAAACTCATGAAGATACAGTACCTTCAAATCTACCATACTATATACTACACAGAATCTTCAACTATTCCTATTTTCAGACTACTGTCACTACTGAGTCATCTGGGAATCTCTGTACAGGCAACCACAAAAATCATGAACCTCACTGTCTTTGTTTCCTGATTGCTGGAGCCTCTGCAAAAACCAGAGTAAAGCTCACAAAGGTACTGATAGCTTTCCAGGCAGGCCTGATGTTCCAAAAACACTTGGAAGACAATAAAAATAATGAAAAGAAGAAGAAAATTTGAATGGGATAAACAGAAACACATTCCTTCATAAAAATTTTAACTCCTCTCTCCAAAGAAAATCCGAAAGCAGTATTAAAATATATCCTAATAGGACTGTTCTGGTGGCACAACAGGTTAAAGCACAGCACTATGAAGCTCTGTTCCATCCCTGGCCATCCCTGAAGGTGACCCACATGGCACAGCAGACCTCTCCTGACCCGCCCGCTGCTCCCCTCAGCACTGTATTTAATTTGGTCTGCCTATGCTGCCTCCCAATCTCTCTGGTGATGTCTCTCACTCTGATCTATACCTCAGTTCTTATATGCATAAAAAATTAAAACTTTAAAAGTAAAATAATCAACTTCATGATAGGAAAAAATGTTTACCAACCTGTTACAAAGAGATCTGGATTCAATTTGCTAGCACACCCACATCTCACATAATCAGAATGTTCTTTGAATGTCAGAATTTCTTTGGAGTTTGGAATATCCCACAATTTAACTGTATAATCATCAGCTCCAGAAACCACATGGTATTTATCAGCTGTAAAATCTACTGTGTGAACTGCTCTGAAAAATCAGGAATCAGTATATTAAAAAGTAAGAAAAAAATTATATTTCTGACACTTTCCTCTCCCCCCAAGAAGCAATTCAGTTTCATAGAGTATCAGGGTAATCGTGACAAAGATAACCTATAAAAAAGGTGTTTGTCCCCAAGCCAACTTAAAATTTTAAATAACCCTACACTATAAAGGTACTAAGTACCAAACAACAGCTTTAAAACTTTATTTTCTAACATGCTAGCAATGCTTAGCTCTTTTATTAAAGATGAATATTCTAATGAAATTAAAGTGTAAGTGTTTCACTGGTATGTAACTATCCTGCTAGTACACTATAAAAAACACTTGAGATTTTAAAATCAGTACCAAATTTTAAAAGACATAAGACTGAATACAAAGCTATTCTGAATAATTTAAAATAATTCAAGGTAGTTAATCTTGCAACAATGCTGTAATAGAAATTGCCCTAGCCATTCAATTTACTAATCCAAAAAGAGAATCTACCTTCCAACCTCAAATACAGTCCAGGCCTACATAATTCTCATTAGCAGTTAATCTAATAGTTACCATTGGGCCAGTGTTTATAATCCCAACCAAGTCACAGAACTCACTGAGAAATTAATGAAAGCTGCAGGATTTCTTCCTAAATACACATTTCCCAAAATGTCACATACAATTCTAGAGGGCTCACAAATTCCATGAAACTCAACCATGGGACCTAGGTTAAGCTCTGCTTTAGGCCAACCAGGGGAAAAGTACCTAAAGTTACATAATTTTCATAGATTTTTTTTTAATTATCTGCTTTTACTCAAATATAATAAATATGAATAGAAAATGAATAGCGGTTACACCAAAAAGAACACAAAAAACCCACTACTGTAGGCTCTCCCTGGTGGCACAGTGGGTTAAAGCACAGCACTAAGAAGCTAAAGCCACCTTAGCATGAGTTTGATCTCTGCCCTGGAGGTGACCACATGGTGTGGCAGACCTCTCCTAACTCGACCACTGCTCCCCTCAGCAGTGTACTTTGTCAGTTGGCTGTTCTGCTCCCCACTGTCTCTTGTTAATCCCTCACTTCCCCTGCACCTCTGGCCTGTACTCCAGTTCTGTATGCATAAATAAATAAATCTTTTAAAAAAGCCCTCTGTTGCTTACTTTGTGTGTCCTTCAAACTGCCTAAGGGGAGCCCTTCCACTTATATCAAAAAGGTGAACTCCACCATCTTCACTGCCAGCCACAAGCAATTTACCATCCTGTCGAAAAGTAGCACAGTATGCTGTGTCTTTAAATCGAGAAAAGGTTTTTACAGGTTCTTGAGAGTATCTGCCATAAATGTGAATCTACAAGATAAAAAAAAACATAGTACCTCACCAGATGCTTCAAGATCAATAGTAAATATAAATTATATAAAAGAATAAAGAATGCAATATTATATTTACCCTTGAAGAAGCTGTAACAGCATAATTATATGGCGGCTGTGAAGAAAAGTCTACTTTTGACACTGCACCAAACTCCTTAATCTGAACAGGAGTCTTAATGAAAAACAATATAAAGAGTTAGCAAAGTTACAAGTGAGAACACCAACACCTATTTAAGCATGGCGTCATTCCTTACACACTATTTATTTTTGTTCTTAGCAACACTTACTAGACTGTATTTAATACAAGGTATAAAGAAAGCAAAATATTGTCCAAGTCCTGTCACCCAGACTATCTCTATTCCCATTAATATAAATAAATATGTTCAGAAAGTCACCCCTTCTTTCTGTTCAGCTGTTAGGTTTTCTGTGATTACAAATGGGGTAAAGAAGTTAAACTCACAGACATTTAATCATGTATGTTTAACATACAACATGCCATGCAAGTCATTATATAGCTTGCTTTCTTTTACTTATAGCATATTACCTAACTTTACATATAAACTACAGATTTAACATCCACAACATCCATCACAATTTACTCCACCAGTTCACTACCAATAAGTGCAACTTCTAAGATTTCTAACATTACAAATACTTCATATGAATGTTTACATAATATAAATATATACACACATTAATCTTACATATACACACATATTTATATCAATCAGGTTAGCAAACTTTCAGGAGCATATTTATTGAGAAAGCTGTGAGGCTAAAAGGCCAAAAGTTGTACGCATTGTTTTATTATGTCAGATTATACCAAATTGCTCTCCAAGAAGTTTATAGCAATTTCCCTTCCTCAAGTGTAATGATGATGAAAATTTTTCATGTGTGCCAATATAACAAATGAAAAACACTATCTAATTTCACTTAATTTGCATTTTTTTCAATTATGAGTTCAGTCTCTTAACATTTTATTCGTCATTAAATTTATTTTCTATAAACCCCCCATTATTTTCATATTTTCTACTTATTAATCTTTTCCAAAAACTCATTTGTAAGTTATTATAGTAGTAAAGAATTTTGCATCACTATTTCCTTAGATTAAGGCAAAAAAATCTTGCATATGAAAAACAAGTTATAAAATAAATCAATTAATCAAGAATTTTAAACTAGGCACTTTAGTGGTTAAACTGATTAAACAATATGGACTTTCATATAAAATTCCAAGAAAAAAATATTAAATATCAACTGATCTGCCCAAACAAAGTTGCTGACAGACTGATATTAGTTATTAGTTCTCATTAGAGTTCCACAGTGGCATAAACGCAAATCCCCTCTCACCCCATGATTGTCAACGTTACCTTATAGTTATTCCAGTACAGCGTATCCTGGGTGATCTTTTCACCAAGTATAGGGTATGTTTGAATAGCTACAGGCTTATAACCAGCCATAATTTCATATGATTGTACTGTTGTCCAGTGTAAATCGTTTGGAATTGAGATTAAAAATAATTATAGTGACTCTGCTTAAATCTGAAAAAGAAAATGTTATATATATTACTCATAATCTATATATAATTATTATTTCTACTCTACTCTTTTAAAAACTTGTGAGGTAACTTACAGATTAGTAACCATTAAACTATTAAGTTTGTAACACAGAAGAGGCAATCGAAAGGAAGCAAGAGGAGTAAGATAAGACTACCATATCATACCGATAGGGGCTGCACACAAATGTTCTCACACCTTATTGAGCAATTTACTCTAGCAAATAAATCTGGTTCAGCTTTCCAATAACAAAAGCAGAGAAAAGCACACAGGCATCAAAAGTTCATTTACTGACAACAAAACATTAAAGTAAAACTGCAAATACTAAAGTTTCCTAAAACTAGATGAAATCTACCAGTATAATCTAGATGATTTCCTGAAAGTTTAAAAATGACATGAAGAAAGGAAAAGAAAATTAACATTCTAATGTAGAGGCTGAAGTTAAATTTGAAGGCTTAAAATAAAAAGCTAATATTCTGACGTAGAAGTTTAAAACGTTTAAACATTAGAAAACAATGCAGCAATTCAGAACTTAAATTCTAAATTAAAGTTACAAAATGAGGTGAAAATGAATTAAAAGTTTAACATGTAACTAAGCCAAAAGGTTTTTCTAGAAGTATTGTATTGCAAAACAGAATCAATTTTATCAGACGAATGAGTTCAATGGTACAATACACCATCTATTCCAAAAAGCCTAAAAATGGTGCATCAGTAACACTAAAATAAAAAATATATCTTTTAAAATCTGCTTTGATGAAATATGGAAATCAAAGATTAAAAAGAGGGAAACTTTTTTATTTATTCAAGTACCTACACGGTGTAAGACACCGTGAAATGGACATAGTCTGTGCCCAAATTCCAGTATTCTCCATTTCAGGAGGTATTAATACCAGCTAGGAATCTCTTGATACAAAGTCTTGATTTGTCCTTTCTCTTCATTTCTAGCATTCAAATAGTTCAACAACATCTGCTGAGTACCTCCCAATCTTTTTAAATATCAGATCCAGTCACTCAGATCTTCTCATCAGCAAAACAACAATACAAGGCCTCGGTAGGTCCCTCATCCATCTAACAAATAGCTACAATGCAAATCTGGGTTTTGCTACAAAGTCCAAAACTGCCCAGAAAAGAAGATCCAAGTACCTTAACACGGCATGAAAGATCCTTTAAAATATGGCTCTTACTTACCTTTCTATTATTATTATTCCCATAATATACCACATTCTTGTCTCACTTCCATTTGTCTGTCCTGTCTGCCAGAAATGACCTCTTTCTACTTACCACTTAAAGACAAACTCAAGGCTCATATTTTCCAAGAAACCTTTCCTAATGCTGTGGTCAGGAGTCTGCCTGCTCTACTCCTACCTTGTAACAGGGTGGTCCCTAGGAAAAAGGGAAGTTCCAGGTTCCCTGCCCACCCAGAAGGAGGGTGGAGCTGAGCAGAGAAAAAGAGAGAAGAAGGGAAGGAAGCAGGATGGAGAAGGAGGAGACCTAGGGAAGCCACATGGAGCAGTAAGCATGTGATGAAGAAACAGGGCTTGCTTCCTGACCTTGGACTGGTTAAGGCAGATGTGGGTGAGATACCTGTAGGGAGGTCACTATGGCAGTGTTTATATTGATTTTGATTTTGCTCCTCCCAGATTTGTCTGGCCATTTCTGACCCTTTTCCATGGGTCCCGGCCAGAAGGTGCTTTAGTCTAGTGGCGGGCTTTCAGGCCTTGCTTTGGGCCAACCCCTTTTGGGTGGACTTATGCCCACGAGGGGATAGGTAACTTCAGGTGTTTGATTTAGAAGTTATATTCTTTGTGTTCCGTATTGTATATTTACTGTGTTAAAGTCCCTTTTCATTAAAGTTTTATATGTTTTGTCTTGTCGCAGCTGATGGCAGAACCTACTTAGAGCAGGCAGGTTTTTGGGGCTGTCCCTCTCCCCCTGTCCTCTAACAGATTTGCTGCCCTATAACAACCTGACTATGCTTGTATCTCTCAAAAGCACACAATCACATTGCAATGTAATGATTTCTTTCTCCCATTAAACTGAACATTTCAAGTCTGGGGGATATTTTTTTCAGCGTGCAAAGAATGTTTATGGAAGGAAGGAAAGGAAAAGAAAGGAAACACTGGGCTGGGTTCTGTGGGGAAAATACAAATTTAAAAGAAAAAATGGTGTCTATAATATGAGTATCACATAGGCATCAACACACTTTTCTTATAAAGAGCCAACAAGTAAACATTTCAGACCTTGCAGGTCAACAGGCAAAATGGAAGATATTATGTAGTCATTTATATAGCTAGCAAGAAAAAATAACTTCCCAATTTTTCCTAACAAGCCCCCAAAATAATTATGACTGATAATTTTGTTATTGGAAGAGAGGGGAAACATTTCATTTCATTCATATGTAATGTTTCCAATCATCAAGCAAATTATAAACGTTTATCTGTAAATATCATTCTTGGGTCACTGGTTATCTAACCATAGGTCTCAGCTCAGAGCATTTGGGCCTTGGTGCCTTATTCGGGTATGGGTGAAGGAGTACCTAACCCTCCCTCAAAGAACTGTTTAAAACTTGGGCAGAAGGAAGCCAGGAGCAGTAGCAGCGTCTTGCCAGATTAAAGTGAGGAGGAGCACTAGGGGCGGGGAAAGAATACTACACAGCCCAAAAGCACGGAGGCAAGAAGTTATGTGAAAAAGAGAAGAAAATTATGGGGGAAGGGGTGGGCGCCTGAAAAGCTAGGGCAGGTATTGCAATACAATGTAAAATGTCAAAAAAAAACCTTGAGTCTTAAGAAGTGATTTTTGAAATTCTGACAAGGCGGGTCCTGGAGAGATCCAAAGTGTCCACTTCAGCTGGGTCTTTAAATTTGGTATTATGACAGGTTCGCCACGCGGAAGAAGGGGGCGGCAGCATTCAAAATTGAGGGAACCTCGAAAGACAAAATGCCCACTGCCTGGAAAACGAGAGGGTTACTCCGGAAACTGATAACAGCAGACTGGGAGGAGAGGGTGAGGTCGTTGCGGAGAAAAATTTAGGTCGACGCTAAATGCCGAGATCCTGGGAGGCTGCTAAGGAGTTGAGCCAATCCGCGGATGAGATGCCTCAGGGCAGCATGCCAGATAGCAAGAAAGGCCCGTCGAGCGTCAGGGCTACATTAATGGAAGCTGCCATCACCTACCTCCAATGGCCCCGAGTATCTGCCGAGACTCCGCAGCTCCAAGGAGGATTTCTTGGGTCCCTCCAGCTCCCTCCCTTGGGTCGTTCAGTATCACTTGCAAAAGTCACGCGGGCGCTACAGGGAGGCGCGGAACCACCCAGCAAATGGAACGGCTAGGCCAGTCGCACACAGATGACGTAATACCGCAGGTTTACGAGATCCACGCCGCTCGGTGACGCAAAGGGAGGTCAGGTGGGCGGGGCGAAGCGGCAGAGGAGGCGTGGCCGGAGGCTAAGACGGTGGTCTTGCTCCGCTAACCCAGAGTTTCTGGCCTGCTGAAATAACGCTGTCCCTAATACTCTCGTAGTATTGTGCAGCGTCGGGGAAAGAAACCGGGAGGTTCTCTCAGCTGCAATGAAGTGGAGCAGTTTTGGGCCAGAAAGCGAAAGAAGAAATCGGAAGTGACGTCGTGGCCAAAACAAGCCTCGATTTGGGGGCCTGTAAGTGTATCTGTGGCCGCAGATGGAAAGACCCGACTCTCTCTCGGCTGTCGAAAGTGGTCGCGAGGCCCAGCGCTCTCACCCTGTCGACTTTCGGCCCGGATGCGCGGGACCCGCCCGCCGCGGGTGAGCCAGAGCTTCTTCCTGCCCTACCTGCACCGCACTGGTACTTTCGGACGGAGCTGGCGGGTGGCGACAGAGCGGACTTCCCTCTCTGCCACACTCCCTCCAGCGGGCTCCTGTCCAGGGACACCTGTCGCCTGTGAGGCGTCGTTCATTTTTCCAGCAACAGCCTGTCCTTGCAAAAAATTCCAGGATTAGAGGGACCCCAGGGACTCCGAGTATTAGCATCCACTGGGCAGTGGCACAGTTCTCCACTTCATCTCGTTATGCTCGCTGTTCCTTCATGCCTGGTTTCAGGCAAATGCGGTGAACTAAGTAAGACGATCCTTACTTAGTCTTAACTCTTGCTCTCACCGCCTCCTCGTTCATCTTTTAGCCCCCTACCTCTTTAGTCTTCAAAAAATTTGGTTTAGCCAGGCAACTTTGCTTCTTTCTAAATAGTGCCAAGATAAGTGTTCTATTTCCGCCAACTCCCCAAGTATGTTTGTTATTTTCCCGCCCTCTACGCCGCAAGCATATTTTCATTCTCCCCTCAGTGACTGGTAATGCCATCTATAAACCCAGATTTGGAACATGGAAGGTCTGTAGAGCTGGAAAGACTCTTTATTTAAAGAACTGCACTGTACCTCCACGTGCATCACTGAATTCATTTTCTAATCTAGTTGCCTTCTCTCCCTTTGCTAACTGATATTAACATTGTTACCTGTTTCTTTTTGTTGTTATTATTAGTCTTTGTTATTTCTTTAATTTTTAGGGTTAGTTTAGTATTTCCTTTTTTTTTAAGATTTATTTATTTATGCGTTCAGAACTGGGGCACAGGCCAGAGGTGACGGGGTGAGGGGACTCACCAGACAAGAGTGGGGAGCAGAACAGGCAGATTGACTGAAATACACTGCTGAGGGCAGCAGGGCAGGGCAGGTGAGGTCTGCCGCACTATGTGGGTCACCCCCCTGGCGGGGGATGGAACTCGTGCTTGATAGCTTCATAGTGCCATAGTTGTGCCACCAGGGAGGGCCCTTAGTACTTCCTATTTTAATGGAGTGTGTGATAGAAGAGCTGGATAGTTTCCTCAAAACTAAACTTCTTGTGTCCCTCCTCTGTATTGGACAGAATGATTATCTGCCCTACTCAAAGGACTGCTATTAAAAAAAAAAATCAACCATAGAAAATGTCTTAAAACTGGAAGTGGTGGTTCTCTATGTACGAGTTGCCAAACTCTGCTCCATTGTCATACACATTTTCCCCTCTTAATTCCTATTTTAAAATACTGTGTATCCTCAAAATTCTCTAAAGACAGTAAGCCCTGACATGAAAATTTAACTAAATGTTTTTCTCTTTCTCAGTGATTATATAATCTAGGATAATTATATATCTTGAATTCTTTGCTTTTTAGAAGCAATTTTAGGTACAATAATGAAATTTCTTTTTAAAAAAATTAAGATCCAGGGGAATGTGCCAGCAATTACTGAAAACTCATTT